TTCTCACACTAGTGTTGTAAAAGGAACAACAGGCCTGCTTTTTGTCCCTCCTGGCTCCTGGCCACCCGACTAGCTTATATCCCGAAATAACAACATACAAATTGTATTCATTTAAACACTGCCTGGCCCATTAGTTCTAACCTCTTATTGGTCAACTCTTACATATTTGTTTAGCCCATCTCTATTAATATATATCTCCACTTGACTGTGGCTTACCGGCATAAGTCTAACCAGTATCCATCTTGGAGAGGAGAGCCATGGTGTCTGCCACACTGCCTTCATCCTCCCAGAATTCTATTCTGTCTGCCCTGCCTACCTATGTTCTGACCTATCAGGCCAAGCAATTTTCTTTATTAATTAACCAATGAAAGCAACAGATAGATAGAAGACCCTCCTACACCACACAAGTAATCTAGAAATATGTTATAGAGATAATCCGTTATCCATTACAGAGCAATGAACTAGTTCTGAGTCAGGTATGTAAGGACTAGGTTCTGACTCAGTGTCTTCTGTAGTCCTCTTCTTTCCCACAGACCATGGTCATGAGATTCTAGATTATGGAGCTCTAAGAATCACATCTTTGTCCAACTATATTCAAATGCAAGAATCAGAGAGACATGGCACAGATATTCTACTTGTTTATCAAAGAGACAACTGTTTTCTAGAAACCTCTAAGCAAATCTCCCTAGTGTCTCATTGGCTAAAGTCAAGACATACAATTTCTAACACTTTGAGATCTGGTCTACTTTCCATTACTACTAGGTATGCCACCCATATTTAAAAGAGCATTTCACTGTTAGTAGGAAACATGTTTTCTTAAGTGACAGTTTTAGGATAAGTCCTCCATGGCTTATGATTCTAACTGACTTTAGTGGATGTGGCTGTAGTTACTGTTAACTTGACAGCATCTTGAGTCACCTAGGAGATGGACCTCTGTGTAGATAAGACTATTCCCTGTACAGGTGACCTTGGACTGTTTAAGTGGAAAGAGGGAGCTGGGAAGGAGCTTGCATTTTTCTCTGCTTCTTGACTGTGACTGCCGTGTGACAGCTTCAAACTTCTGTATTGTTTTCCCCACAGTGATGGGCTGTACCCTTGAATTGTGGGCTGAGGAATCTGTTCGACCTTTCAGTTTCTTTTTGTCAGGCTATGCTTTCATTGTAATAGGGAAAGACACTAGTATTGCAGGTGAAAGCAAGTGTAAGGGCTTTCCCAGAAGGGAAAACATGGAAAGTGAAGTGTAGGGATTAAAATAGTTACTCAGCCAGTTTGAATGAGACTCAGGGGACTTACAAAGAATTCTGAGCCATTTAAAAGTACATGGGCCTAGGAATACTAACTAGCATGCACAAGTCCTCAGGTTTACTCCCTAGAAATGCAAAAATAAACAATGAAAAATAATTATTTGGAATATTTTAGTCATTTGTAATCTCATGTTGAAGCTCAGTTTACGAAGGAGTTGAAAGCATTCTTTAGTCTGAAGTAGAGTGGGATGCCTATGGCTGGCCCCATAGGCCCAGACAAGAGAAAATAGAAATAGTGAGTGTGAACTGAAGGAAAGCAGCAAAATTTCAAAGTTGTCATTTGGGGGAGATTAGGACACGTACAAATATGGGCTTAAATTTAACTGAACCAATGTATTTTGAGGTTATATGTTCATAATGTAGTACCTTAGTAGAAAATGTGAAACCTGCTAATTAAGAATGATCTCTTAGTGACATGATTTGGTCTTGATCAGGGAAGGGAAAAGAAGTTTGCAAGCTTTGCTTTCTCGTATGCAATCCTGTTGTCAGGTAGGAGTGCTCTCAGTGGAAGTTGCTTCTGATCCCATCACCCCCAGAAATGGAAAGCAACTGCACAGAAGCCCCATTAAGCACTCTGTGTACTCAGACTCTTGCCTGCACCATCCCCTCTTCTTCTTCCTTTATATCCATCTACCAAAAGCTCCACTCATTTCTTCTCTTTGGAGAATTTTCCTTCCGTATTTCAAATCCCCCATCCTCATAGAAGCATGCTAGCAATTGATCACTCGTGACTAAAATGATTTTTTCTCTTAATATTCTTTAAGACTCTCCCAAGGAGAGTTCTGGGGCACACATGTGAAGAAATAAAGCGAGGAAGCCCCTAGGAATGCAGATAAGCAGCCTCATGTGAGATGGCTTGGGATTTTCAGATGTGTCTGCCATGTCCAGAGTACTCAGCATTCTTGATCTAGAAGTTGATGTCCACTTCTAGAGTTAGGAATTCCTGCACTCTTATGGCTTTCTTACTTTCTAAAGCTGTGGAGAATTTAAAAATATGGTCAATACTATAGTATTAACCATGATGAGATCATGGCCATAGACAGATGATTCAGCTACTTTCTTCAATCATTTCAGTCTAGAGAGAAGAGATGCTTTGTACTGAGTAATAAGATATTGTGTCCAGGGGCTGGAGAAATGGATCAGCAGTTAAAAGTGTTAGGTGCTCTTCCAGAGGACCTGGGTTCAATTCCCAACACCAACAACCTCTTCCAGCATATCTGAAGTCCTCTTCTGGTCTCTGTGGGCACCAGACACACATGGAGACAGACCACCCATAAATATAAAAATAGAATAAAATTAAAAACTTGAAGGATACTGTATCCAGAATAATTTTCCAGTTTCTCCTTCATAACAGACTCCAGAAGTAACACAAAGGGCTGGGGAAATGTGTATACCTTTCTATACAGATCTCTGCAAACCACAGCCTTGCTTCTGACATTGATAGCCTCCTTATGTAATTTACATCCAGTTAAGAAACCCTTAATACAAAATCTCATTTTTTCCCACATTATGCCAAGCTGCTTTGGGATCTCTGAAGAACAAGTCCCCCATGTCTTCCTGCCATTATTTGAGTCCTTGGGAACCCTGTACTGTTTGAGTGGCCCTACTGTCACTGTCTCATTATTCATGCCTTGACGTCGTGCTCCATCTCAGCTATCTTTTCAGACAGCACAGAACTTGACCCGGCAGCTGCAGAACACATAGTCTTGCTTGACGTGTAAGTTCGAGATGTTTTGCTGTTTCTGAAGGGCACTGATTCTGTAAGCAATCTGGGCCTACAAGTATTATATTCCAGAAAACTCCTTACTAAAGAAAATTCTAGTTGAAGGTCACCTTTATGGTGGAAATAAGTGTTGGTGGATCAATGGCAACACATTATAAATACTTTCATGTTTACTGAATTAGAACATTAAAAGCAGCATTAAATAGAGTATTGATAACATTTGCCGTCTTAAATTAATAATGTTATTTTTTTCAATTTCCCTCAGCTCACTGGAGAATTGTGTCTTTCTTCCCTGCTATTTCAGTTAAATGATTTGTTTTGTTGTGGCAAATATTAATGTATTAAATGATAACTGTGGGCTCTGTCTGACCCTTACATCTAAATGTCTTGATTTTATAACAGAAAATAGTTGACCCTGACTTCAAGTGGTCCACCTTCCTGAGCCCCTGTACCCCAAGGGCACGAAGGCAGGCATGTGTAGGCTCGAGGTTTCAAAACGACTGTTCTGACTCCGACTCATCTCAGCCCTGCTCCTTTGCACTTCACAGTAGTGCCCTCTCAGGCCTGCTTCTGCAGTTTGGGCCAAACCATCATTCACAGTTCCGGTCATGTGCCTCTCAGAAGTCCTCTGAGCATATTCCTATTTTGTCCTTCCCAAGACACCATTTCCTCCTTTGTTTAATCTGGTCCTCATCTATTATTTCATCCCCTAATTCTCGACTTCCTGTTTTTTTTTTTTCCTAAGAGCCCCCAAAGCACAAAATTACCATCCCAGCTTGGCATTTTCTGGAATCTCAATTCTTATGAAGAAGACAAGGTTTCAAATGTGTATACATGAGAATAACTTTAGTTGAGAAGCAATTTGGAGACTCGTAATGGAGATTTTACGATGCTTTTATGCTGACACTTTGGCTTGTTGCACAACCCATCATTGATCTTAGGCAAGTTAGTTCCTTCTCTAGAATCAGTAGAGACTGTTTCCACCTTGCCATATACTATTAGTGGAGATTTTCCAAAAAAGAGTGACTTTCTGTTGTATGTTTTCTTTATAGCTTTTAGCCTACACAAATTTTTAAAAAGATTTATTTTATGTATGTGGGTTTTTTATTTCTTTTATTTTTGAGATAATTACATCATTCTCCCTACCCTTTCTTCTCTTCAAATTCTATGTACCCCTTCTTGCTTTCCTTCAAATTCAGTTTCTTTTTTTCATTAATTTTTTGTTTTACACACACTCACACACTTACACGCTCAGTCTGTTTAATGTTAGTTATATGTATGTTTTCAGGACTGACCATTTGATTTTCAATAACCATTTGATGTGCTCTTCCCTAGGAAAGACTATTTCTCCCTCTCTCACATTCATTCAGCTCATGTTTAGGCAGTCATGTTAATGAGACTTTAGAGGTGCATTTTCTGACCTTCCTAGGAGACACAATTTCACAGAAAATGGTTTGTTCCTCCCTCTCATATATTCATTTCACCTCCTCTTCTGCAATGATCTCTGAGCCTTAGGTCAGGAGTTGTGATGTAGATAAATCTGTTGGGGCTGGGCTTCACAACTCCATGTTGATTAGTTATGGTTTTCTCTAATGGTCTCAGTCTGTTACCAAGTGAAGTCTTTTTGATGAGGGGTGAACTACACTTCCCTGTGGGTACAAGGCTAAATATTTAGCATGTACTTAAGGATTATGCTGGGTCAGTAAAGTGGAAGTTCTAGGTTCTTTTCCAAGATCTATGACTTCACTAGCCCTGGGTAGTTGGCTAGGTTTCTGATGCCAATTATGATCTCCCTCTTGTTGAGCAGATTATAGTCCAATTACAGAACTGTTTGTTACTACCAAGGTATGTTTGCCACTACTAAATCCTTAGGCTTATTGTGTTATGCTCGTTGTTGTTGTGGCTCATGGGCATCATATCTCAGTAGTACTGTTGGTTTATTCACCATTTGGAAGCTTTTGGTACTATGAAAGTTAGTCCTTAGGGAGAAGGCAATCAGGTCAGTTCTAGCTTAGGGGTCATTGGGCCCTGTGTCTGAAGTGTATATTATTTTCAGCAAAAAGGACTTACCTTTCACCTCTGAGTGGCAACCAAGACAAATAACAATAGCCTTTAAGGTTTTCGGAGGCTCTCGGACAACCATAACTAATTTAATAGAGGGATTCTCAACCATGATGCCAGTTTATCCTATCCTGTCCTGTCCTATCCTAAACTATGTTATCCATCATATGTATGTATGTGTGTATGTGTGTGTATATGTATGTATGTATGTATGTATGTATGCATGTATCTATCTATCTATCTATTTATCTTTACTTATTTTAGTCTTGTTTACCTATTTGTTTAGGCTGAATCTTTCTTTTCCTTTTATTGAAAAGGGATATTCTCACATAATCTATCACAATTACAGTTTCCCTTCCTTCTACTCCTCCCATTTCTTCCCTGCTTTCCTTCCTATCCCAATTCACCCCTTTCTATCTTACATTAGAAAGCAAATGGATTTCTAACATATAATAATAAAATATGGTAAGATAATTAAAAAAACGAACACACCAGAATAAAAGAAAACAAACAGAAGAAAAAGAGCCCAGCCCAAAGAATGGCAAAAGAAACAGATTTAGACAAAGAGACATGTTCTTTCAGACATTATGAAGAGAGAAACCTTGAAACACTTAAACGGGATGTGTCCATCAAATTCCTTTTCTCAGAGCCCAGGGTACACCGCAGAAGAGGAGCTAAAAAGAGTATGAGAGTCAGAGGGGAAGGAGAACACCAAGGAAACAAGGTTCTCCAAACCAATGGGATCCACATACATATGAACTCCCCGAGACTGAGGCAGCATGTGCAGGCTTTGGTCAGGGTCTGCACCAGATGGCGTTCTAGAGATGAAAGGAGAAGTGGACACAGGCTCCACCCCTAATTTAGAAGCTATCTTCAATAGATAACAATTTGCAAATGACAATTTCGTTATCTCCAAAGGAGTCTCAAAGGGGAAACAAACTACTCGTAAGGGTAGGCTGCATGCCTAGCAGGAGATGCCAACAGAAAATGTACTCAACGACATATTTGGAGGTTCCTAGTTTCATAATGTTGTGCCTAGGCTTTTTTCTTTTTAAAAATTGTATCGTATTTTTAATTTCTATTTTTCATTTTATTTTATTTATTTATTTCCTCTTTTTACCCTATAGATCCTTTAGGTATATATTATGGTCTCCAGTTTACTATTTTAATGGGATTCCTTGAAGCAGAATGTGTCAAATGGGGGGAACATGAATCAGATAATCCACACTCGCTCCAAATAGGGTATAGTAAGATTATTATTATTATTACTATTATTATTAAAAGGGAAACTCATGGATCACAATGAGGAAAACAGGAATGCGTTCCAACATCCAGGTGTGGCCCAAGGGAGGAAGAAGAGGCCCAGTGGGTGCTCCTGTGGGCTTTTTGGTACCCAAAGGCCACGCCCCACCTGGTCCAGCCTCTCAAAGGCCATTGGCTGAAGGAGATTCCCCGTCACCTCCCCTTTTTATCTAAATAGCAGAGTTCCAAACCCAATACAAAACTGTATACAATAAGAACAGATATCAAGTATAAGAATTAAAATTACAACCAGTATAAACAATCTTAAGCACTATGTCCTATTGGCAGTGTCCTTTGCCTTACAGAAGCTTTTTAGTTTCAGGAGGTCCCATTTATTAATTGTTGCTCTCCATGTCTGTGCTACTGGTGTTATATTTAGGAAGTGATCTCCTGTGCCAATGAATTTAAGACTATTCCCCTCTTTCTCTTCTTTCAGTTTCAGTGTATCTGGTTTTATGTTGAGGTCTTTTGATGGAGGAAGGTCATTGGTTAAATAATAAAGAAACTGCTTGGCCCTGATAGGTTAAAACATAAGTGGGTGGAGTAAACAGAACAGAATGCTGGGAGGAAGAGGAAGTGAGCTCAGACTTGATAGCTCTCCTCTCTGGGGCAGACGCCATGAAGCTCCGACCCAGGATGGACGTAGGCTAGAATCTTCCTGGTAAGTGCACCTTGGGGTGTTACACACATTATTAGAAATGGGCTAGTCCAGGTGCAAGAGTTAGCCGAGAAGAGGCTAGATATAATGGGCCAAGCAGTGTTTAAAAGAATACAATTTGTGTGTTGTTATTTCGGGTAAAGCTAGCCGGTGGCGAGAGCTGGGTGGCGGAATGCAACCCGCAGCTCCTACAACAGTCTTTGATCCATTTGAACTTGAGTTTTGTGTAGAGTAATGTTTATTTGCATTCTTCAACATGTAGCCATCCAGTTTGACCTGCACCATTTGTGGAAGTTGCTGTCTTTTTTCCCATGTGAATTTTCTGGCTGCCTTATCAAAAACCAGGTGTCCATAGGTGTGTGGACTTATTTTGGGGTCTTCAATTCTATTGAATGAAATGTATGTGTTTGTGCCAGTACAGTGTTGGTTTTATTAGTAGAGTTCTATAGTAAAATTTGAGGTGGGGGATGGTGATACTTCCAGAAGATCTTTAATAAATTAATTATTTATGGTTGTTTTAGCCATTCTGTTTTTTATTTTTTTGTTTCTATATAAAACTGAAAGTTGTCCTTTCAAGATCTGTAAAGAATTGTGCTAGAATTTTGATAGGGATTGTACTGAATCTGTAGATTGTTTTTGATAGGATGGAATTTTTACTATGTTAATCCTACAGATCCATGAACATGGAAGATCTTTCCACCTTCAGATATATTCTTCTTTTTTAAAGAAAGAAATTCACTGATAATTTTTTTCTTCAATGTCTTAAAGTTTTTATTACATAAGTCTTTCACTTGCTTGGTTAGAGTTACAAGATACTTTATATTATTTGAGACTATTGTGAAGGGTGTTATTTCTCTGATTTCTTTCTCAGAATGTTGTTTATATTCAAAAGGTAATTTATTTCTGTGAGTAAGTGTTATATACAACATCTTTGCTGAAAGTGTTTATCAGCTGTAGGAGTTTCTGGTGGAATTTTTTTGGTCACTTATGTATACTACCATCTCATTCAAGTAAAAATACTTTGACTTTCTCCCTTCATCTCCTCTCTTTTCCTCTCCTCTTCTTTATTAATTCTTCCTTTTCTCCCTTCCTTTTCATTTTTGTATCCCCTTGATCTCCTTCAGTTATTGTATTGCTATAGCTAAGACTTCAAGTTATTTATTGAATAGATATGCGGAGAGTGGACAACTTTCGCTTGTTACAGATTTTAGTGGAATTGCGAATTGCTCTAAATTTTTTCTCCATTTAAGTTGATGTTGGCTATGGGCTTGCTCTGAACTTCCTTTATTATGTTTAGGTATGTCCCTTGTATTCCTAATTTCTCCAGGGGTATTGGATTTTGCTAAAGGTTTCTGCTCTAATGAGATGATCATGTTTTTTTTTTGTCTTTCAGACTATTTATATGGTGAATTAGATTTATCAATGCATGTTTATTGAACCATCCCTGCATCTCTGGGATGAAGCCTACTTAGTCATGGTACATCATCTTTTTGATGTATTTTTGGATTCTGTTTGCAAGTATTTTATTTGAAAAAAAAAATCTATGTTTATAAAAGAAATGGGTCTGCAATGCTTTTTGTTGAATCTTTAAGTAGTTTGGGTATCAGAGTAACTGTGGCCTTATAAAACAAAATGGGTAATAATGTTCCTTCTTTTGTTTCTATTTTGTGGAATAATTTCAGCAATATTGGCATAAACTCTTCTTTGAAGACCAGGTAGAACTCTGCACTAAAACCATCTGACCCAGGGATTTTTGTTTTGCTTAGAGTGCTTTTAATTGCTGCTACTATTTCACTGGGGTTTATAGGTCTGTTCAAATTGCTTGTTTGATCTTGTTTTGTACAAGTGGCACTTACTGAGAAAATTATTGACTTTTAGATTTACCAGTTTTGTGGAGAACAGGTTTTTAAAGTGTGTCCTTATAAATATCTGGATTTCCATGACGTATGTTGTTATGCCTTCCTATTCATCTCTAATTTTATTAATTATATTAATATATTTTACTAATTATATTAATAAATGGATATTCTCTCTCTGCCTTACAGTTAATTTCCATAAAGATTTGTCAATAATACCATTTTTTCTCAAAGAGCTCTTTATTTCATTGATTCTTTTAATTGTTTTTGTTTCTGGTTTATTAATTTTATCACTGAGATTGTTTTTTCTTGCCATCTACTCCTTTTGGGTGTGACTTCTTTTTGTTCTATTGCTTTCAGGTGTACTCTTAAGTTCCTAGTATGAAATCTCTCGGCTTTTTAATGTAGGCACTTAGAGCTGTGAACTTGCTTCTTAGAACTGCCCTCATTGTGTTCCACAAGTTTAGGAATATTGTGTATTCTTTTTCATTTAGGTCTGGAAAGTCTTTAATTTCAATCTTGACCCATTTTCATCCATAGTCAGTTGTTGAAGTTCCGTAAGTTTGTAGGCTTTTTATTGTTTCTGTTTCTGTTTACTTCCAGCTTTAATCTTTGGGTGTTATTTCAATTTTCTTTTATCTGTTGGAAATTGTTTTGTATCTATTTTGGAGAAAGTTCCATGAGGTGCTGAAAAATATCTGTTAGGTCCATTTGGTTTATGATGTCAGTTAGCTCAAGCATTTTTCTGTTTAATTTTTGTCTACATGACCTGCCTAATGGTGAGAGTGGGGTATTAAAATCACCTACTCTCAGTGTGTGCTGTGGAATAATTCTCTTGTCACTGTAAAGATTTGTCACTCATATTGGTTTAATAAAATGCAGATTGGCCAGTAGCCAGGTAGGAAGTATAGATGGGGCAACCAGACTAGGAGAATTCTGGGAAGAGTAAAGGCTCAGTCTGCAGACACAAACTAGATGTAGAGGAAGCAAGATGAGAATGCTTCTCTGATAAAAGGTACCCAACCATGTGGTTAAACATAAATAAGAATTATGGGTTAATTTAAGTTGTAGGAGCTAGTTAATACTAAACCTGAGCTAATAGGCCAAACAGTTTGTAATTAATATA